CAGGATATTGTCACTGTGTTCCTGGACTTGGAGTCAGGGCAAAGACCTTTAACCTTGATTGTTTTTAAAAAGAGCAGTACAATAAATGATGGCTATAAACTCCACACACATTCTGGTGACCTTGAGTGTCCAGAAAGGTAACCAGGCTGGCGCAACCTAGTGGCTCCGCTCAATTTAATTTTTATCCAGCGACTAAGTCAGGAATTAGAATAAACTAGACTGTTTGCAAGAACCCCAGAAGTTGTAGACCACGCACCGGCTAATCAGCGAAGAGCTGTGAAGCCATGACGTCAAACTCAAGCGCCTGTCTGGGTCCCTTTTGTGGTACAACACAACAGTAAACAAAGTGGTCAAGATGGATGTAGATGAAGACATATATTCTGTGTTGGCAACAATTCCTGAGATCGAGGATTTAAAGCCAGAACAAAGAAAATGTTTGGTGAATTTTATTAAGGGGATAGACGTTATTGTCCTTCTTCCTACAGGATTTGGCGCATTACATACGTCATGACTAAACAGCAGCGATTATTTAAATAAAAAAAAAAAAACTCTCCTACCGTCGAATGAACAAATTCTAATGTTGCAAGGTCAGACGGTTTCCACGAAGTCCTCCAGGGGGACTCCAAGGTGTTCCCAGGCCAGCCCAGAGTCCCTCCAGTTTGTCCTGGGTCTTCCCCGGGGCCTCCTCCCTGTGGTACATGCTCAGAACACTTCCCAAAGGAGACGCCCAGGAGGCATCTGGAACAGATGGCTCCTCTGGAGGAGCAGCAGCTCTACTCCGAGTTCCGAGCTACTGTTAGCATTGGATTAAAAACACATTCATTGTTATTAAATGCTCAGAACTTTTGTTAGCGTGAACAACAAACCATAACATTTATAGTTCCTACTGTACATATATAATAAAAATAAATATGTTTCTAAATAAAAAATCATAATAAAAATAGGTCACCAGTATTTAAGATAAAATAGACCAATAGCAGTTGTCCACTATGAATAAATGTTAACATATAACATTATCATAGCTTAATGATTTAGACTACAAAAAAAAAAAAAAAAAAAAGTGTCTCATAAGGTTGTGGTTTAAAATATGTTACTGAAAGGCACTTAGATATAAACATCACCATCAAATCTTTCTGTTTTCTGCATTTATTTATTTTGATGGCTAGAAGTCTGTGTTCCTCCTGACGATCTCATGTCTGTGGATTTGCACGTTTCTGCCTTATTCCCAGCACCTCCCCCTGATAAAAAAAAAAAAAACAAAAAAAAAAACTTGCTCCCCTCTTTTAGCCCTAAACATGTTAAAAGACATAATAATGTCTAAACGAGTTATTTACTAAGTCAAATTAAAGAGATTGTGTTTTAAAAATATTACGAATATTTGATTTGATTAACGATAATGGTTTTGAAGCATTTAAAAGTTCATATTCATATCAATTCTGAGTCTATCATTGTAAAATAAGGTGATTGAAAGATAAAACTCACCTTTGTTAGGTCTATATTCTGTTTACCTTCTGTATTGGAGAAAGGACCCAGGCTTGGCCTTTTCTTGCCTGTGTCAAACTGACAACACAGTGTCCACGGAGGAACATGTACTTATCGAACTCAACACAGAATCGAATCAAAACAACAGAATTGAAAGATAGTTTGGATTTGAGAGAGATAGTGTGAAACAAACAAGAATAGTAGAAGACTTTGTGAGTCTTAGGGACCTTGGTTCAGATGTATTGGTGTGAGTCAACTCTTACACACTCAACCATGACTTTTAAGAAGGCTTTGACCTCACGTAAATGTTAATTACATTACAGATGGTAAATCAAAGCCCATAGATTATTTGTTCACCCACACAGCAGAAAGTGTGCAGAAAGCGCTGCTGTCCGTGCCGTGAACATGAAGTTGCAACACTAGCGAGCGCTGATGCCAGCACTAAAACAGTTTATCACTGTGTGATAACATAAGTTTTAATGCTAAATGAACATTAGTGAGTGGGATACGTTTTAATGACCTGTATGTGTTAAATGCAGGTGAGTGCGTAAAGGACAAGAAGAAACGTCTCAAAACTTCAGTAGCCGGACACCCACTCATAACTGATCGATACACCTATCCCCGCCCCTGAAATCCTACGGGACAATGACATGATACAGACAGGACAGTGGCTCTTTCTGCAGGAAACATGTGCAGTGTAGTCTGATAATCCCTCTATTCAGTCAGTTGTTTTCACTGTAGATCTGTTAGAAGTGGCTAAACATTCCCAGACAAGTCTGATCGTCTTTCCCATTGAGAAACACAGAGCCAGTGCCGCAGGCATATTTCCTGGTGGGGCTGCTGGTGTGGCCGTCCTTGCGTGGTTTTGCAAGGTTACGCATGTAAAAGCCAAAGTGTTCAGTGTGTTTAACTAGGGGTGTCAAATTATTGCGTTAATTGCGATTAATTAATTACAGTCATATTTAGCACGTTATGTTTTTTAATCATGTTAATCTAGTTTTTAATCTGTAAATGTACTGTTTCTGTATGTGAGTTGCCTTATTATAAAATAATTTTTTATGTGTTGTTGGGACAACGATACAAAAAAACCCCAAAACTTATTTTTTATTTGGTAATTCCACTCATTGCCGGAAACCCAAACAGAACACCGCAATAAGAGCGATGTAAACGTCATGTTAACGTTGGCGGCGTCAGTCACACAATGGATGAGGTCGAAGAGCCAGTAGAACAGAGTCAGCAGCGCACAGGTAAAAACACATTTGTGTCTTGGAAATTCGTCTCTCAATGTGAGATATAAAAGAAAATAAAAAATATAAAATCACCCACAACTTAAATGTCAAACCGGAGCTACTGGCACTGGTGAAAAACAAACTGCATAGGCTCATGAAATCTGCACTACTGACCTATAGTGACCTGAGACACGAGGGAACACAAACACAAACAACACACAAACACAAACACACAAACACAACACACACAAACACACACCTTCATCATCATCAACCTGAGAACGCACGGACCACGTCTCCTTCCGTAGATACTGCGCGGACACCACCGTCCTCCCGTGCGCCTCATGTGGACTGTGTTTTCTCGCGTACGCTGTGCGCCTCTAAACCAGAACTAACACCAGGACAAAAACCGGGACTAACCCAGTCCAGAACTAAACCAGGACTAAACTAGGACCACACCAGGTCTAAACCAGGACTAAACTAGGACCACACCAGGTCTAAACCAGGACTAAACTAGGACCACACCAGGTCTAAACCAGGACTAAAACCAGTGATCTCATATATAAAGTATTTCTCTATCAATAATATTTTTAATATAGTTAAGGAAAAACTGGACTTTTTATTGTCTTTAAGCAGACAAAACATCTTATGTTAAGATGTCCTAGTCTTTACTTCTCTACAGTAAACAGTTGCTTATTCATGGAGACTTGGGCTCAACAGACAATTTGAAGAGAACAAACAAGAATTTGCAGGATGTGGTTGGTACATTTATGTAGTTTTAAAAAACATGACAATATCAAGTAATCCAAAGTAATCAGATTACGTTACTCATTTTAAGTAATTTAATGGATTACATTACAAACTACATTTTGGAATATGTAATCTGTAAGGGAATACATTTTAAAAGTAACCTTCCCAACACTACAGATTAGTAATAGTAATAATAATGATGATACTGTGGATTGTAAGGCTACATTCAGACTGCAGGGCTTAATGCTCAATTCCGATTTTTCTGTGAAATCCGATGTTTTTGCGACATGTATGCGATCCCCTGTGTGAACAGTAAATGGCCCGAAAGTGTCCCGCATGTGCACTGGAGACACGATGACATCAACCGCAGTGAGCGTGCTCTGTGTTTACGGAAGTTGTCCAAACATGGACACGAGCATTGAGCACCTGGAGATTTTAAAGTTCCTCTTGTACCGGAGCCACAACATGTACTTGTTTTAAGGAGGAGATTGAGAAGGAGAAGGACGAGGTTTTTGGCCGTGGTGTTTTGTGGGACAGCGGCAGCGACGTCTGTTGAAATTAACATGTGGATGCGGTGACGTAGCCAAGAGTGGTGAGTGGTGATGTGCTTCACTTCAGTGACACAGAGTTCATTAACAATTTTCGCCAACTTCAGCGCAGAATAGTGACGTTTGTGGCTTGTTGGTAACGTGTAGGTCAAATGAATGCGCTTTGGCCGTTCAGACTGAAGTCGCATGTCAAAAGATCAGATATGTATCGGTTTCAGGACCACATATCGAAGTGGCCTGGGTCACATTTGAAAAAATCGGATCTGTGTCGTTGAGACTGTCATTAAAAGATCAGATACAGGTCACATAGAAGCCAAAAAATCGGATTTGGGTCACTTCAGGCTGCAGTCTGAACGCAGCCTAAGTGACTGCATCTGTTGAAGTTTGTTAAACAAAAAATGACTTTATAAAGTCACTTTTTTTTTGTTCTGTATCAGTCTTTTTGATCTGCCACAATAATGTAATAATAATTTAAATGAAAATACCTCAAGTTGAAGCTTTTCTCAGCATTTTTAGGTGAGATTAAAAAGAGATTAATTAGATTAATTAATTACAGATCATAATTAATTAATCTCTAAATTGTTTTAATCGCTTGACAGCACTATGTTTAACACCTAAGCGATTTGGTAATGACCATTCAGATCAGAGAGACATATTTTAGGTTTGAACAAACTGGATTTCATCACTGAAACTGGCAACAGAAATGAAATCATCTAGAGAACCAAAACACAAAATCACAACAAACAATCTAAAAATAAACCAGTATTACGTGTTATCTGTAAAAGCTGCACAGCTCATCCTGTTAATGAAATTTAAAATCACATCATCGGCTGATTCAACAGTAGATGGTGCAGCAATAATAGCTCATTGCAGAAGTTACAGTAGTTGTAGTCATGACTAAGTGGTGAGACAACACTGTTAGTCTTGTCCAAGCATGAATCCACAAGTAGGTATCTGATTTCACTTGACTTAGGAGAAAACATTAAGCCAGTCCAAAAGCACAGTTTTTATTGTCTGTCATAAATGTGTAAGAAGAAACGGAGCCAAATAGCAATTTAAAAAGATACAATTATCAAATCGCAAGTATTATATAAAAAAAATCCTGTCATATCCTGCATAGAAACTCTAACCGTGTTGTTTAGATCTGTATAAACACTGTATTCATATTTTCATATTTCACTTATTATGGACAAATGTGAACTTAGACCAAAATGTTACCATTAAAAGGCCCCATATTACACTATTTTCTGATCTATGTTATAATGTTTCTTCATCAAAACACACGTGGAGTTGTGTTCTGTTTCATTCACACACATGTAACACGCACATCCTGCATATTTAGACATTGCTCATCTCTCAAACTGAAAACACTCTGTTCATGCAACAAACTGTTGCATTTGATGTTGCTGCAACATTTCCACTGCTCGTCTCAGTCCCTTTGTGTCTTAGTCAGTCTCAGGTCAGTTGAACAGGAGGACTGATCAGGGAGGGTCAGCAGAAGAGTCAAAAGTGTCCCTCCTCCGTGTCCTGCAGCATCACAGCAGCCTCCAGGGAAATTCAGGTGAACCAACAGGAAAGGCTTCATTCTTACTCCGCTCTGGTGTTTTGGTTGGTGACGAAATGGTTCATTACATCAAAGTGTTTCCTCTGGAAGATCTTCTGCCACATTTGCTGCCACATATGGTGTAAAAAGCCTCCAGCATCTCAAATGTCCATAGCCTGCTCCTTCACTGACCTCTTGCATGGTCTTCATGGATACGGGAAAAACAAACAGCTCATCTTGACCTTAAAACAGAATAAACACATCTTTTATCAATCTGAATCAAATTTTTAAAGATCCCAAATCAATATCACTTCTTTTATTTGACATGTTAGTGTCATATGAACCATCTCGCACTCTGAGGAGCTCAGGGACCGGCCTCCTGCTGGTGCCCAGAGTCACGACTAAACACCGGGAGTCAGTGTTTCAGGTTCTGGAACTGGAACAGTCTTCCTGAACATGTGAGACAGACTCTTCTTTGACGCTGTTTAAATCCAGGCTCAAAACATTTCTGTTTAACTGTGCATATAACTGAAAGCTTTTCATTCCGCACTCTTCTCTCCAATTTATGTCTCTCTTTTTTAATTTTAATCTTTATGATTATTTATGTTTTTATTAGTTTTTATTATGATTTTAATGTATCTTATTCTGTAAAGCACTTTGAATTACTTTGTGTACGAATTGTGCTATACAAATAAACTTGCCTTGCCTAACATATTCATTCAGGAAATGTAAAGGAGACAAAAACATTTGTATAAAAATACCTTGAAATAAAAAAGTGCATTGTTTATATCTTTTTATCTATGCACTTTTATAAGGAAAGGTATAATTGAAAACAATTCACAAGGAAATTCAATGACCAACCCTGAGGTTGTGTACTGTGTTGTGTAAAGTGTTTTATTGTTTGATAATCAGGAAATGAGTGATAGTTGTTAACTTTACTGTCTTGAAAGTTATAAAAATCTGCTTATAAATCATTGTGGTGGAGTGCATTCTGAGAAGTGTCCCTTTAATGAAGGACTAAATGAGTCAGAATGATTGAAATTTAGAGCAGAAAAATTCTCTTTTGATGTTATAAAAATGTTGAGAAAAAAAGATGTTTTTCTGTTTTTTACAGTGTAGTGGTTTGACTGTAGTTTAAAAGTGAAAAAGACAATAAAAAGTTGCTAAAAACGACATGTAGTCATATGAGGTCACAAAGAGTTAATGATATTGCTGAAAGCTTCTTCTTTCATCTGCGAAACAAGGCTTGGTTGTGCCCCTTTCACTCCACACTCCGAATCTACGGTGATGCAATCCTAGTCTACTCATCCAGGATCACGAGTATTTTGGAGTCATCAAGCTATGACCCATGGCCTGTTTACTTTTTAAAATGTTCTAATTTAAAAACCATGGAAAATGTACCTCATGCCAAAATGAGTAAGAAAATCTGAGACAACAAATTCTCTGATGTGGATTTTTGAGACTGTAAACAATTAAAAAAAGTCGTCACACGGGGTTTTTATGCCCCACAAAGACCTAATTCTCTTCAGAAGGCAGACAAACATAAAACAATTTTAAATATGGTGGAGGGTCAGTCGCCTGCTTGTCTCCATGGTGAAGTTACGGGTCAGATCTGTGAAGAGGCAAGAACACTCACAGTAAAAATCAGATGTACTGTTTTACTGTTTCAAGTATTTTTGAGCAAATACGGCAGATAATTAGATAGACATGTAACGCCATACTATACACAGTGTTGGGGAGTAACAGATGACATGTACCACAGTTACGTAATCAGAGTACAAATTATGAGTAACTGTATTCAGTTACAGTTACTGTTTCAATGAGTGGTAATTGGATTCCAGTTACTTTGTTGAAATAAATGGATTACATGGCGGTATTTTCCTGTTTTCACATTTTGGGCTAAACCAGGACTAAAACCATGTCTAAAACCATGTCTAAAACCAGGTCTAAACTAGGACTAAACTAGGACTAAACCAGGACTAAACCAGGATTAAACCAGGACTAAACCAGGACTAAACTAGGACTAAACCAGGATTAAACCAGGACTAAACCAGGACTAAACTCAGACTAAACCAGGATTAAACCAGTTCTAAAGCAGGTCTAAAACTAACCAGGTCTAAACAGTTCTAAACCAGGTCTAAACCAGGACTAACCAGGTCTAAACCAAGAATAAATCAGACTAAACCAGATAAACCAGGACTAAACCAGGACTAAACCAGGATTAAACCAGTTCTAAAGCAAGTCTAAACCAGGTCTAAACCAGTTCTAAACCAGGACTAAACCAGGACTAAAACCATGTCTAAAACCATGTCTAAAACCAGGTCTAAACTAGGACTAAACCAGGACTAAAACCAGGTCTAAAACCAGGTGTAAACTAAGACTAAACCAGGACTAAACCAGGATTAAACCAGGACTAAACCAGGACTAAACTAGGACTAAACCAGGATTAAACCAGGATTAAACCAGGACTAAACCAGGACTAAACTCGGACTAAACCAGGATTAAACCAGTTCTAAAGCAGGTCTAAACCAGTTCTAAACCAGGTCTAAACCAGGACTAAACCAGGTCTAAACCAAGAATAAATCAGGACTAAACCAGATGTAAACCAGGACTAAACCAGGACTAAACCAGGATTAAACCAGTTCTAAAGCAAGTCTAAACCAGGTCTAAACCAGTTCTAAACCAGGACTAAACTAGGACTAAAACCAGGTCTAAACAATGACACTTAACAGTAGGGTGGACATACTTTAAGGCAGCAGTGATCTCATATAAAAATCATTTCTCCATCAATAATATTTTAAATTTGGTTAAGGAAAGACTGGACTTTTTATTTTCTTTTATCAGACAAAACATCTTATGTTAAGATTCTCGGCTTTGCTTCTCTACAGTAAACAAAAGTCTGTGCATGGAGACTTGGACTCAACACACAATTTGAAGAGAATAAAGAAGAATTTTCAGGATGTGGTTGTTACATTCATGTAGTTTTAAAAAGCATGACGATATCCAGTAATCCAAAGTATTCAAATTACTTTACTCACTTTTAAGTAATTTAAAGGATTATGTTACAAACTACATTTTGAGGTATGTAATCTGTAATCTGTAGGGGAATACATTTTAAAAGTAACCTTCCCAACACTGACTGTGGAACATTCCAGACTATAAGCGATAACATCTCCATGGATACAGGGAGGTAGCGGACCCTCCACCACGAAAGTTACACAGTGCGCCTTTAAGATAACAGCGTGTAAAACTATCATCTGAGCTCGAGGGTAAATCGTGTGAAGTTTATTTCTGACGTTGCTTGGTTCTCGTAAGCGCCACTGCACCTCCAGGTCATGTGAGGTTACAAGTCAGGTCTGTGGAGAGGCGAGCGTGCTCACAGTATGTATGTAAGCCAAACTATTAAATCAGTGCTTCTATTTAAGTAAAATTATTATTAAAACATGTATTACCAAAGGGTGCCTACAAATGTACAAATGTAAAAAGTGAAAGTAGTTAAGTACTGTACTAAAAAAATAGGTATATGTACTTTACTTAGTAGTAGTAGATTAGTAGTAGAAGTAGATCTTATACTTCACTACATCAAAATACCGAGCAAATATTTGTACTTTCTGCTCTGCTACATTTCTGAGCAGGACTGAAAGTAAAAGTAAAAGGTTTATTTAACTCATTTGTAGTCAGAGCAAACAAAAATATACAAATAAGCACAGAAAAAAGTGGCTACATAACTATATTTGAAGCCAAAATACGCACAAATACTTTTACTTTTTGCTTCATGTGTTATGAATAAATCACTATGTTTTAAGCCTCAAAATACACACAAAATACTTTCATTTTACGCTTTAAACACATTTTTTCATGTGATACTTTTACTTTTACTTGTGTATTTCTCTTGGCTCAGGTATCTGTACTTTTACTTAAGTAACAAAAAAGTACTTCTTCCATTACTGCTTAAATGTACAGCAGTATGACAATAAACATGAGCTGAAACTAGTTTTAACTGAGAAACCTGCATTAAAAATATGCACAAATACTTTTAGTACTGTAGTACTTTTAATTTTACTTCACTACCTCTGAGAGCAGGTATCTGTACTTTCTGCTCCACTTCATTTCTGAAGATTTCTGACTTAAAAGTAAATGCTTTTTATTTTCTTTTTAATTATTGTTTGGCACCTGCTAAAAAGAGTGAGGATTTATTTACAACACGTTTGAAGTTTGAGCAAATGAAAATATACAAATAAAAATAGCTAAAAAAAAAAAAAAAAGACTACATCATTACATTTGAAGTCTCAAAATACACACAAAATACTTTCACTTTTTACTCTTTAAGCACATTTTTTCATGTGATACTTTTACTTGAGTATTTTTTTTAAGTAACAAAGAAGTACTTCTGCCATTACTGCTTAAATGTACAGCAGTATGACAATAAACATGAGCTGAAACTAGTTTTAACTGAGAAACCTGCAATGTTATTGTAAACGGGCGCACCTCTCCACAGATCTGAACCTTAACTTTGTAGTAGTAGTAGTAGTAGTAGTAGTAGTAGTAGTAGTAGTAGTAGTTGTAGCAGTAGCAGTAGTAGTAGTAGTAGTAGTAGCAGTAGTAGTAGTAGTAGTAGTAGTAGTAGTAGTAGTAGTAGTAGTAGCAGTAGTAGTAGCAGTAGTAGTAGTAGTAGTAGTAGCAGTAGCAGTAGTAGTAGTAGTAGTAGTAGCAGTAGTAGTAGTAGTAGTAGTAGTAGTAGTAGTAGTAGCAGTAGTAGTAGTAGTAGTAGTAGTAGCAGTAGTAGTAGTAGTAGTAGTAGTAGTAGCAGTAGTAGTAGTAGTAGCAGCAGTAGTAGTAGTAGTAGTAGTAGTAGTAGTAGTAGTAGTAGTAGTAGTAGTAGTAGTAGTAGCAGCGTAGTAGTAGTAGTAGTAGTAGTAGTAGTAGTAGTAGCAGTAGTAGTAGTAGTAGTAGTAGTAGTAGTAGTAGTAGTAGTAGCAGTAGTAGTAGTAGTAGTAGTAGTAGCAGTAGTAGTAGTAGTAGTAGTAGTAGTAGCAGTAGTAGTAGTAGTAGTAGCAGTAGTAGTAGTAGTAGTAGTAGTAGTAGTAGTAGTAGCAGTAGTAGTAGTAGTAGCAGTAGTAGTAGTAGTAGCAGTAGTAGTAGTAGCAGTAGTAGTAGTAGTAGCAGTAGTAGTAGTAGTAGTAGTAGTAGCAGTAGTAGTAGTAGTAGTAGTAGTAGTAGTAGTAGCAGTAGTAGTAGTAGC